GGAGGGGACCATGGGGGGACACTGGCCAGAGCTGGCCTGGGCGGGGCAGCCATGGGGGGCCTGGGGGAGTGGGGTGGGAGTCGGGGGGCTCATGCAGAGCCCCTTATGCAGTGGGGGGGCAGTGGGGATTGCCTCCTGCCCAGCAGCACCTGCTGAGTTGGGGCTTTTTTTTCCCAAGTGCCGGGAGCTGGGGCAGGCAGGGCAGCCAGTGCCAGGGCTGGGAGAACAGGCAGGGGATGGGCCTGGCTGATTCAGATATTTAGCCAAATCAATTCAGGACAGTGATTTGAATCACCGAATCGAATCACTGTCCCCCAAATCAACCAAATCCGAATATGAAGCGAATACTAGCCACTTCACACAGGCCTAATGCACATGCATGTGGTGCCTCCTGCCCCCAGCGTTCCACTCCTCCCAGCCCCAAGCAGTCCCTTGCAGGCTGGAACTCTGCAGTCTGCACGGGGAAACCCATGGTTTCCCAGGTTTTTCTCCTTTAAAGGCAAAAATCTGTGTTTTGTCACATTTTTCTATGGCAAATGGAAAACCCCAATCCCTGATCATAACATTACAAAATATGTTAGCCATTTGCAAATTCCACTATGGGAACTCATGGAAATAGGCCTTCACTTACACACACACTATATCATTGGATACCATTTTAACAAATGTGATTATTACAAAGATGCAGCTGCCTCAGCTCAGTTCCCAAGTTGAAGGTCTGCTTTCCTACCATGGGAAGCTCTTGTTCTTCCCTCATGCCTGCCATTCACCTTGATACCCCCAGCCTGGTGTTTTTTGTGCAAGAAGGCAAGAGTAGTCTCCATGTGCTTCTTTTTTCATGGCTTTATGCCAAATGCTTCCCTTTCTCCTATTCAGAACTTCTGTGTCACCCAGGGAGGCTCTGCTGAGAAATTTTATCCTATGAATGATATCCTCATTCATTTCTTCATCTATCCTTCCTACTGAGTGGCCAGACTTCTTCTGTACAAGTCAATTTCCTAGGTAGCAAGATCACAGCATGAGGTGGTATGGCTGCAGGTTCCATGCCTGTAAGAAAGGGGACAGTGACGTATTTAGGATAAATTTTTATATTTGAGAGTCTATTGGAAAATCTCTAAGAGTAAAGTTTCTTCTGCTTAAAACATCCAGTTTCTCAAGTATCAAAGTATACCTACTATTCTGGCTGCAAACTACTGAAACTATAGTATGAACATAAAAAGCTTCAAGAAAGAATGACTGCATTCAGCCTAAAGAAAGGCATTCCACAGGTGCAGATCTAGTTTTCTTAGAAATACTTATCTGGGTTAAGGTTTATGCTACCTTAAACCTTAATCCCAGAAACGTCAATGTTCTTCAAAGTGCAGTTGTTGCTGAGCCACATTTGGCAGCAAAACATACCCTTTGCCAGTGCCCTCAGTGTCCAGTGTATATAACTGCATGCACAGGATAAATCACAAAGGAAGTGTCATAAAACATTTCTTTATTATGGTGTGGAATTAGTTGTTTATTCACAGCAAGGAATGGATGAGCAGAAAGGTAGGAATAGCCGTTTTTCCATGTTACTGATGTTTCTTTTCATCTTGGGCACAAGTTGCCTTTTAACCATTAAGAAACTGACAAAATTGACAAAAAATCCCAAATATTAGTTTAGTTTATTTTCATACAAATGGACATCAGGTTGCTAGTTAGACCAAGTGTATTCTTAACAGCTCAGAGGATGAAATATGGTAACCACTGGTTTTCTTAGGAGAGAAAACCATCATTGTTTATCATTTTGGGGCATGTGACTGAGCATTTGATTCAATTGATATACCATATGTGGTTGTTATGCTGTCATGTGTAACACTGTAGGAAGCCAAGAACATCCAAATGCTGACTACAGGATAGTCTCTTCCATAATAACATGATGTGACCCTTGGCTTCCTGGGTAACATTCTGTAAAATGAAGCAGTTTCTATTTTTGCCTTTAATTCAAGGGTACATCTTGACAGATTCCACCAGGATCTCTTGTTCCATTTTGATTTGAATGGTGTGACATAGCATGATGCAATTTTTAATTTGTACACGTTGGACTTTCTTGTTAGAAAGGGAGGTCACCGGAGATCCCACCATAGAATTCAGTGAGTGTTACCTCAGCTACATCTAGCGTAATTAGTAATAACATAATGTGACCTTGTAGGAGCAGGATCTGAAGCCTCCCCTGTTAGGTGCTGAGTAACTGGCCTCAGTTTCCAGTGAAGAGAGTTGAAGCTGAAAGCATTCAGTTCTTCTTAGGACTGGTTCTTTAATTTCTTGATCCTGAAGCACATACGAAGGGTGTTCTTCATTGCATTGTGACATGTATTAAACTCTTGACAGCCTTGATTTCCTCCCTCACGATTTCCTTTCCATTGAGTTTCAGGAGAAACCATGAAATCTACATGTTTGTCTGCCTCCAGAACTTAAAAAGAACGATTGCAGCCTCTTTGCCCTTCATTCTGGTTTGCAGTATACATATTTTGTTGATAATATAGTACAAACATTTAAAGAAACCATATGCTGACTCATGTATTCAGTGTGCAACCAATGATGCATAACATGTTCAAGTCTGATGTCACTTTATAAATAGAAAACAAAATAAACCTCAACAAAATTAATGCTAAAAATATAAATGGGATGTTTGCTTGAGCAGAATGAATTGCTGTTGTAGCATTTCATGTGATTTGATAGCCAAATCCCTTATCCTCCCAGACTAAAGTTTTCCAAAATGCTCTTTTTAAAATATTTATCCAACTGATTACTTGTTTTGAATTATATACAGTTACTATTATGGGCATAATTAAAGGTTTGTTGTATGCCAGTTTCCTAAGTTTTGGAACTAAAAAATATTCAGCTAAAATATAGTTTTGAATAAGAAAGTCTTTCAACTTGCCATGTTCAGCTGTGATTAGATGTGCATGAGGAACTGAGACCTCATCACATTATTAAACATTAATCAGTGCATCATACCAATTTCAAGATAAAAGTTTTACAACTGTGCATAAACAGCAATTTTTCTTTAAGAAAATGATTTTAATATAGTAATGCCTGCTGGACTAATGTGTATTTTATGCTTCTTTACTGGGAAATAAAGAAGCTCAGATTAGTCTTACAGCAACTGAAGGAATGAATGAACTCTGAAATGTCAGCTGATGTAAAAGATGAAGAGCAATCTGCTAACATTGAAAATGTTTGCTTTGATTATCTAACTTCCCAGGTAAGGTAAGGCAAGGGACTATCTTGGTACCTTGCTGGTCCTGTAATTAGATTTGAATTGAACATTAAAGAGCCATACTATCAAACGGTGTAGAAAAAAAGGCATGTTCTTTTTATTTAATATAGCATGGTGGCATCCTCAGGCTCTATTTCAAGCGTCATTGAATTACATGCTTTACAAACTTCTGGTAAATTATACTCCCTGCTTCAAAGAGCTTACAATACAAAGGACAAGGTATAATTGGGTTAGATAAGTAAAAACAAGCAGGGCAGAATGAAGATATAGAGTAACACAAATTATAGGATGTAGACAAGTCTTAGCCAATCACAAGCAGCCATTATGGTTTGCCACCTGCCTAGCCATTATCAGACTGTATTTCTCAGGATGTATGAGAGAGCAGGTGAGTGTAAGAGACTTCAAAGCATAAAGGTGGTGGTGGTGGTGAGGGGAGAGAGGAGGGAAGAAGATTAGCGTTATCGGCAGGATGTCAACCTGGCAACAGGATGACAGGTCTTGAACTGACCTGTTGTTTTTTTTACAGTGCATTGGAAGCTTGCATGTAGGGTGATGGAAGGCAATAGTGCTTCATGAACAAAGCATCTGGTAAAACCACATAATCCTAGTGTTAGAGGAAAGGCAAAAATACAGCATAGGGTTTAATCTGAGAACAGAAGCAGAAATTGTTAAGAAAAACACTAGACCAAAGGTAAACCCAGGCAAAAAACAACTTTGCTGTGTTGTTAAAAGCCTCAGTCAATTTGTTGGGAGGGAAGATTTTTGGGGTGTTGTGACATTTGCAGTATGAAGAAGAACTTTAGCTATATAACAGGCGGTTGATTTGGGAAGGGTTAACTTTGAAAGAGATGGAGGCAGCTTGCCATCCAAGGCAGGAAGGAGCCAGTCATCTTGGAGCAAGATGTCTCCTGAAAGGCACTGGTCCTTGAAAATGCTGTACTGGGCAAAGGGAAATATAGGCAAAGTATCAGGATATGTATCCTAATAAAAATGTCTAAAAGAGACCCGAAGCCCCATCACCTCAATCATTAAAAAGTAGAAACTCAGGAATTGACAAGTAGGACCAATCCTGTCCTCAGAAGTCTGACTTCTGGTGTTCTTAGTTTTCAACATTATTCAGAAATTAATGATCCTAAAGCAATTAGACCTGATTTTCTGTAGCCCTACACTTTTGTATGCCATGATTTCTTGTGCATAATAGATGTAAAATGCTTTTCTTTTGAGTTAGTTGCATTATGCTTGCTTTGCCAGAGTTGCACGAAATATGGCAGCCAAGAGTCAGGCCTGTTGTCTTTAGAGAGAGGTTAGGAAAGGATTCTAACGTAACTGTGTATAAACTACTCTGGGCTAAATTATAAACAGAACAATCCTGAGAGGAGTTGTGGTCATATACCTCTGATAAGAATTTGGCCCTACAGATCTTTGGAGAATTGGCTAGTAAAAAGAACTATATTGCTGAAGACAATACACAGTTACAGTACAGCCAAAAGAAGCTGAAACCATCTGCCAAATGTTATTTGGAAATCAGTTTAAGAACACACCATGAAATAAGTGGTGTGATGTGTTTCACCAAGAAAAGCTGCTGCTTATTTCTCCAACACAAGGGTGATACACATTAAAAAGTTCCTTATTACTGTTCCAGCATTCCATATTACAGGCGATCTTTTACAATGGTATATTTCATAAACTGTCTAGACCCTACTTCTCTTCTCCGCACCGGCCTATAGTGACCCCTCCTCCTTCTGCAGCACCCTGCTGCCAAAAGAACAGTACAGCAGCAAAGGAAAATGAGAGAAGAACAAAACACTATAGGCATCAACCAGGCACCAGTAGCCATTACCACCCAGGCAGGTCTGTGGTCATCATTTTCTGAAGTGTAGTTTCTGCCGCTGTAACCTTTGGTTTCATTCAAGTTCTGCTTACTGTTGTTCAGACGAGCAGGACTAGGTTTATGGGATAACAGCTTAGCAGATACAGACATCAAGGTAGAGTATACAGGCTTTTTGTCCAAACTGGTTGTGAAACCTGTACTTGCTGAATTTATGTCTTTTTCCTTAGCAAAAGGATCAGCCACTGGTGAAGATCTTGTCCATGAGTCGGTGGACAGTTCAGGTTTTTGGACAAGGTCACGTGTGCCGTGGGTGTAACTATTTACTGCTACCAAACCTTGGCTCGTGGTAGAAGATGAAGATTCAGGTAGAAGTGAACCTGATGTGATGTTATCGTGCTGGCAACTTTCTGAATCAGTTACCTTTGAGTGGTTTTGTCTTTCATATTTGTTGAATGAAGAACGGGTATTCAGATCCTTATAAGACAATTTCTCAAAAACAAGAAGATCTGGATCGATCCCTATTAAAGCAGAGACAAAGCATACATTAAACACACATCTCTTAGCATTACACTTAGCAGGACAGATACATTTTTACTTCTCTCAGGTAACAGAGGGGGAAAATAAGTAAATTCTATTTACAAGGTAGCTTATATATGTTATAGGGCCAAAAAGCCCTCAACGCATTTTTAGGAATTGTACATGTTCTTTAGGTGATATAAGGGAATTACCCCCACCTTAGTTTAATACATTGTTACCTGTTGTAATGTTGTACAAAATGACATTTCTTCTAGCCCGCACTATGCAGCTCTCCAGTGATGGACAATAAATATGAAGGCAGTTAAAGTTCTGATGGATAGTTTCATAATAGAAAACAGCCAAGTTACAGGAATCTATAACAAGAAAAGTATAAATGTTGAGTTTCTGTGGACATAATGACCCCTACATTTGCTTTCCATTTCTTTTGCCTACTATGAAACAATGGTAATAATACCGGACAGTTGAATAGCATTTTAGAGCAGAGGTTTTTATGCTGTTTTACCAATTCCCTTTGAGAATATTTAATTACATGTTCAAAAGCTAAGCATCTAGTCCAAAGCTAGTTCTCCATGACTACATTGCTCTACCCTTTTCTCCTGCAGTAAAGAAGTAGACTTATTGTTAGTGATTAAAAAAAAACCAGTTTCTTTTACCTCCTCTCATCTTCCCTCACCACAAAACTATTCCTGAACTAAGCAGGGCACGTTGCATAAAAATGTACTTGCAAGGTTAGGACTGAGATTAACAACAAAAAACTAGGATTAAATTGGGGGAAAAAGTGTCAAGTTTTGTAATGCTGATTTTCATGATTGCTAGAACAGCACTTGCGGAAAATGCTGATCTAACTATTGAATCTGAATTGGATGCATGCCTTAGAGATTAGATGCTTATGCTACATGTCAGCATAGTTCTGCTTAGATCACATGCTTTAACAGAGCTTGACATTTACAATCCGCAAACATTTCTAGAATGGTTCTGCAGTTTTTGATTGAAAACGAAATTGATGGTAACTACAGGGTGCATATGCATTGCCTTCACAACAGTAACATGCATACTCCAGAATGTAGCATGCATTACATTACAATGATGTTTATTTCAACAGCCTTATTCTTATGCTCATTCTAACTGAGGAATTAACTTTAAAATGACCGTTAATGCCATTTCTATAAGGAAGAGTGGGTAAAAAAATGACATATGTTTTCCCTATTTAATTTCTCAATGTCTTTTTGATTATCTGTTGTGGAGAAGAAGAAAATGCTTATTTATTGCTAAAATATAGCAATATCAGGCTTGTAATAATTTATTTCTTCATTCACTATTATTTGACCTTCATAATGCACCAGTAATACATTAAAAATACACTTTCGAAATAGGCTTGCAGATAAGTGTCGTAAAGCAGAGGTGATGTTTTCTAAAGCAGAGTGTCTCTGAGGATGCACTTTGTCTATAAAGCATCTGAACTCAATAGCTTTCTGAAAGGAAGCAATTACAGTTTTATTACAAATTATAAGTCACTGCTGAAATGGACAAGATTTTCAGTCCTAAGCCAAATCTTTCTTTGCTAAGCTGGAATGAGGATAGGAATGTCAGCACATAAATATGTATTTTAAAAACTCTAATGAAAATTTAGGCAAAGGGAAGCATGATATGCTATCAAAAAAGAAAATACTCAGCATTTTGTCCTTGTCTGGAGTCATTCTTCATACTCTATTTCAAGCATAAGTCAACTTTCATCAGTCTCCAATTATTTGTCAGACTGATAAAGAGCTTGCAGTTAGTAGATGTGCTCTTTAATAAAAAAAAAAGATGGGTGCCAGAAAAAAAAGTGTGTGGTTGACATAAAAATGGTGAAGGACAAAAGTCCATTCTTTCTGGTTTCATAAAAATTTGCTTTGTATTATCCCAACTGTTTTAGTTCTTATTTAAAAGGTTATGACAGAATTAAACAAGCACCTTTAATTTATATGTAGATATTTTGAACCATTCCCTGCATTACACATCTTACTGGGTCAGATGAAGAAAACTGGTTTCCATCTATATGAAAATTTAAAAGTCACTGACTGTTTAAGAAAACTGCAGAAAAAAGTACTAGTAAGCTTTTCCACTTTCTCTTGTAGATTTCTTATGCCGTACATAAACAAACAGCATAAAAAGACTTCGTTTTCCAAATATCTATTATAGAATTATATTTAATTTAATGTTTGCATTTATGTATCAACTTTATTTACCAGATCTTATTGAAATATTCATTTTTGGTTAGAAAAATCTAAAGTACACCAGCTTCTAAGGGTAAGGATACAAATTACTGCCATAACTATGACTGGGAAATCCAGTGGAAATAACCTTTGTTTTCTTGTAATGCTATTATGTATCAAATACTCTGCAACTTTATAGATTAAATCAGATATTATTTAAGAAAATACAATACTTACAAATAGGAGTACACATGGTATTGCAAAGCAAGTCTTTATTTGTGAAAGGTTTCAGAAGCAGGCCTCTTATCAGGAGCCAATGCAACTTTTTTTTAAGTTTCCTTTTAAATGGTGTTGACGTTTCTAATGATTGTACAGTAAATGGAAGTTTCACAAAATTATTTCATTTTGAAAAAACGTAGTTTTTTGGTATATGCTCCATTTAGGTTGCTGGGTTTTTTGCTTATGGTAAATTATACTCATTTGAATGAGCTAATAAACCCATTTTTTGCCAGGCAGAAAATATTTTTTACCAGAGTGAGGATTTTTTGGTAAGCAAATAAATAGAAATTGCCAAAATATATATAGAAATGTTTTAATTGTTCTGAAGATAATAAGTTTAACAGATAATCTTAATGTGTTTCGTTTCAATTACTTTCAGTTTATTTTTCAACTTGTGGTGCATCTCTCCATACTAGGTAGGGTGGGATAGCACCAAAGGGTGCCTGTACACAAGTGTGGAGGCTGCTCCAATGTGCTGGAAGTCCAATTAGTTGAGTCTGCTGGTAATTACTGCGCTCTAGCAGCTTCCCGCATCTTGTGTATCAGCGCCCCCATGTTTAAAAATGTTTGACAAGCTTTAGTTCAAGTTCCCTTCTGCCATTTTTAAGTGTGGGGATGCTGATACACAAAACGCTGTGGCACTTTAATTAGAGCAGTTCTCAGAGCCGCTCTAATTAAAGCACTCCCCACCAACCTCTGGAGCACGTGTAAAAGTGCCCTTAGAGACTACATGGTTCAGAGAGGCATTCATCAGATGTAAAGTAGGCTGTTGTCTACTTCAGACTGAAATAGCTAACCTCCTTATATAAAAAAAAAGAAAAGAACCCCCCCCAACACACACACACATACACATGTATATTCACCCTGTGCATCAGTGGAGCTAATTTATCTGTGCATAATGCCAGTGTCCATAAAGACTCACTTTTTGGTCCGTATGCCATTCAAACCTTGTCTGTTTCATGAAACAGTTATATGGGGATTTATAACAGTAGTTCTGGTACTGGCTACTTCTGTCTCCTGGGAATTGAACTGAAATCACTATCTTATTGCATGCAAGTCACTGTAATGCCATTCAAAGTTATAAACTTTTGTTAATGATGTTACAGAGATATAGCTGAACCTGTGACTTTGTAATGAAAAATTCTAAACACCTTTATTGATTTCCTGATGCATTGATTTCCTTTCCAGGATAAATGTTATATATTAGTAGAAATTTCTTGTTGGATATACAAACCATAAGCTAAATAAACAAAATATTCCTATATTGAATAAAGATTTTGCTATATTTCTATAAGAACATGTAGTAATTATATATGCTAAGGCACATCTTGACTCTTTGCACAGTATTGAATATTAATATGTAAGTTCTCTCAATCTGTGCTGGAGGTTGATAAAACTTATCCAAAACTTCCTCAGAATGTCAGGGTTGCTTGTAGTGTTGTTATCCAGATTCAGATATCATTCTGCACAAGGTAAACTTAAAGTGCACTGCAGCTTTAGGATCAAATTTGAACACTCCAGAATCCCTTTACAAAGTCCTCTACTTTCTGCAGCGGTAGAGAGAAGCAGTATAGTTTTGTGGTTTAAAGCTAAGAACTAGGAGTTCCTGAGATCTGATTTCATCTCCAAGGTTTATGTTTTGTTTTTTGGGTTTTTTTCTTTTTAATGTACCTTGGCCAACTTTTCTCACTTGCTTAAATTTAATACCATTTATTATCGGTATTGTGGTAGCACAAATAAGCCCCATTTGCACACCAGGAATATAGTACAAACACCAAACAAAAACGTGGTCCCTTCCCCATGGAATTCGGTCTTGCTAATCTGCCTCAGAGGGCACATCTACACAGAACATTTACTGCTCCACAGTAAAATATCACCGTCTACACATGTAGTGCTATTAGGATGGAGTAAACTAATTAACTCCACTGCTTGCATTTCCAAGTACTATCTTGTGGTGTTCTTTACTCCACTGCAATACATGTATAGACGCTGACGGGGCTGGCTGGGGCATGAGTGTGCTTCAGTGCAGGGACTGCCTGCCAGCTAGCCCCACAATGGAGCACCCTCATGCCCCAGCCAGCCCCTCTGCAGCATGTTGAGCTGGGTTAGAGCAGCCCTGGGCTGGCAGACTGATCCCCTGGTCCTCCTGTCAGCCAGGCTGCTTTGACCCAGCTCAATATACTGAGATCCTGGGCTGTAAATGTGGCATGTGGGAGCAATAAATTCCATTGCAATATGCACCAAAGTTTACTGCTTTGCCTTAATAGCATGTGTAGGCATGCCCAGAAAGCCTGATTCTTTCACCCATATCCAGGCTGCATAAAGCTTATTCCACGAGTAGACCCACTGACATTGATGGTCCAACTTTCAGAGTAACGTTCTACTTAACCTGAGGGGAACTACTCTCAAAAATACTGAGAGACTGTTACTTAACTAGTAATATTATTAACATGCACCCCAGAAACAAATTTTGTTTTGGAAAACAGAATTATTCCATTTAATCAAACTTTAAAGGTTTATCAAAGGCAGACACTAAGAATATTCTTTTCTAATAATTTAATTATTTTTTCTAATTTGTTCATCCAAAAAGTTCACATAGTCAAAGTTACTTCTATGGAGGCAAAGGAGGGACTCGGGAGGGAAATAATTAGGATGTATCCTGACTTCCCTGCCTCAAAAATGTATTTGTTCTTCAGAAAGATAAGGCAGTATCTAAAAATCTTAAAAACCCAAATTTCCTCATGTGCAGTAATTTTAGTATACACTTCTGGGATCTGAACAAAAGCAGATAATAGACACTTACCATTCTTCAGAAGGCAGCAGGCTCTGCTGCACTGTTGGGCTGTGATTTCTGTGTAAATCTTCAGCACCTGAGCTCCCCATTTCTGAGATTCCTCCAGATCAATCAGCAAACCTGGGAAGCGTCGGATCCAACAGTTTTTGTAAAAAGCAGTGGGTGAGCAAAGTGAATCCGACTCCCACACCAACCCCAGAACCAGCAGCACTTCTGCTACTACTCCCAACAGAAACATTTCCTCACTTCATGGACTTAGTAAGAGCCATTTCTCCAGCACAGATGTGCAGAGGACAAGTCAGCATTTTAATAGCAAATCTCCTGGAAAGTGCTGACATTGCCAGAAGAAGGAAAAAGTTTATTTTAAAATGTTCCTATGATTCTGTTTGATGGACATATGCTGAAAGGTTGAAGCAGTTTTCTGAACATGTTGATTTTTTTTCTTTTGGACTTTAGATGAGTTTTTTGGAGCCAGTAGAGCTTCTTAGTGTCTCCTTCAAACACATACCATCTTTAGTCATTCAGAGAGCTGGACCTCAGGATCATGAATCTGCCACCTTTGTCCTGTTAGATCAAACTACTGTGTATCTATGAATAAACACAGAATAATGATGAGCCTAGAAGATGGTTTCACCACAGCTTTCTAAGGGAAAATAGCTACTTGTATCACTTGAGGCCAACAGAGTCTTCCTCTTATTCAGGCTTGTTATAAATATTTGACACAAAGGCTGGATTTATTTCTATGCTTATTTAAACTCAAATATTAAAAAAAAAATATTTCCATGATCTAACCACCAGAAGTGGGAGGCTCTCTCCTTCCCAATCAATCCTTTAATTTTTTTTTTTTATATATGTTGTGGAAACCCCCTAACTATTGATGATGAATGGAGGAAACTGTCTTTGGATTGATAGAACCATTAACTGGTCTTCTTCTCTAAGTTTAGTGATATCAAGAATTCAGCTTACATCTATTTTCCTCCTTATGCTTGAACCTGAAGAAGGCCTGGCTTTATAAAATGTAAACCTGTAATAGAAAGTGGCTGGAGTCAGTGCCTTACAATTCTTCAAGTCCCTGTCTTTCACATAGCAGCTGACACTTGATTTTTTGAACATCTGTTCGATTCCCTAATTTCCAGTTGATATGAGTATTGTTAAACAGCTTTAGATATTATATCTGTTTGTTTACAATTAATGGCTTACATGTCAGATGGGGAAAAGATAGGCAAAAACTCTATCATTTTACTATGCTATATTTTAGCATAGTATGACTATATTTTATGAGTGGGGTTGTGATCTATCCTTAAAGATGGGTGCAAGGAAATTCCTCAGGTCGTGTCTAAAAGCATCAAAATATATGGGATGCTTTGATGTTGCTTTAATACTAACACTTGTGTGAACTACAGGTTTACAGCTGGTATAAATCTTGTAGCATAAGATCCCTTGGTCCCACAAAGGGGGTCAGCGTAGTGTATGTATATACAGAGCTCTATTGAAGTTTAATGCAGCTTAGTTCAGGTCCCCTTACATGAAGCCAGCAGCTAAACTGGGGTCTTAGTTACTGAATCCAGTTACTGTTTATAGTCACATGGATTTCAATCAGGTATTTTCTGTAAACAAAGACGTTTCCCTGACACTTTAACAAATAATTTTGGTACCATACATCCCTGGGATAACTCTTGCCTCAATTTTCCTGTGCCCGAGCACAAAAGCCACCTGATTAACAATCTCACAGATATGAAGAATGTACCTGTATCAGAATTCCATTGAGAACAGCATTTTGCTATACATTGGGCATGTCTACATGAGACACTAATTGGGCAGTTGCTGAATAATACTGTGCAGTAGCATGTCACAGCACAAACAGTACAAGTATGCTACTGCACAGTATTATTAGGCTACTGTGCAGTAGCATCACTAAAAAGGTGTTTGCTGGCACTACTGTGCAGTAACTCTGTTTACTGCATATTTATTTAGTACTTGATTATACAAGTACTAAATAAATGTGCAGTAACTACTGTGCAGTAGTGTCTCATGTAGACGCACCCATTGTGTATCTATTTTGTTTTATATGACTGGCATGTGACAACGCCAAGTGCTCTTCTTTCGCTCTTCATTGCTGTTCTTTCCAGAAAGCAAAATTTGTAGTAATCAAAACCTTATGAAGAAAGAAAGAGCAAATGAGCTGGTTCATAATCAAGTTTCTACATCAGTCTAGATTCCACCACCTCACAGAAGAGCATCTTGTTCTCCATTAAAATGTATAGGTGTATTTTTGGAATATGAATAAGTGGCTCAGAATCAGGCCTATAGCCTCAGAACCACTGTATTTTCTCAAGTCTTTATGGCCTTACACAGTTTATGTACAGTCAACAATTCTCTTTACTTTTCAAAAAGAATTAGCAGTTATATCCTCAGTCCTGCAAGTTATTCCAGGTCTGCGGACCTCAGTGACCAGACAAGCTCCTTTGATTTAACCTGGGATCTTTGCAGGTTTGTCTGTACAGGAAACAAACTGCAGAATTTGGGCTTGAACATGTATGGAGGTGATCTAAATTTTGCTCAGACCTTGCAAGCATCAATTTACCTGTATCGCATTCAATAGGCTGACAAATGTCGAAGTACCTGCTCTTCTGCTGACCCCATAACCAAATGGTATACAGAGTGCACAGGTCTGACTGAGACCATTCAAGAAGGATGATGGATAAATAAATGTTTGTAGGATTGGACCTCAAAAGCATAACAAGTGACTGTCTGCATGTACCCACACTCTGCATATAACAATTTCAACTTGTGTTTTCAATTTTTGGGGCATCACAAAGCATAGGGATGTTGTTACCTGGGATCTCTTATCTTATTACCTCTATTTCTTTTTGGCCACATTCAAATTGACCACCTCTTTCCTTTGTATTAAGGTCAGATTCTTCTTTCTTCCCCATTCTGAATATGCTTAAGTAGCAAGAACAGCTGCAGAGAAATTCTAACTTTTCCTCTTTAAAGACATGTAAACCAGTTTTACCATCTGAAGTATCTAAAATTGCTCTGGGCAACACACACGGAAGAAAAAATTCTTAACTTGTCTATTACGTTGCAAAGGCTTCACTAACTTTTCACGTAACTTTATCATAGCTAAAGGGGATGATTAAGTACATTTATAGGACAAAATATTTACCTGGCTATCCCGAAACTTTCATAAGAAGCAACTATCTGTGTCTTACCTGCAAATGAGGATGTTCCATGTGCTCCTGAGGGAAGGGATGTAAAGACGTTTTCTGTTGGCAAAGGAAGTCTGGTCAGTATCGGAGCCGTACCTCATGTTGTTCATAGACTATCAAAAAATTGCTTTCAGGAAACTAATCAACAATTTGTTTGAGAACATGGTCATCTATAATCCTCCTACAAAAGATCTGTAAATGTTGCTGCAACCAAGGAAAACAATGCTTGTTTTTAAATACTAGTTTATGAATTAAAATCACCACCTGAAACTTTCTACCTGGCAGCAGACATAGTGGCACAATCCAAGAACTCCCTAGAGAAGATGATTCTCAGGCATTAACTCTTTTTCTGCCAAATCTTAACAAAGCAGAAGCGTCTTTTACAAGTATCAGCAGTGGTATTTGGAATTCTTTTTGTTTGCTTATTTGTATATAAAGGGTTTAATGGTCTGGTATTAATGATATTTGCATGGGCTCTGAAATGGATAATGCTAGAAAGTATATGCAAGTCAAAAGAAAAATAGCAAGGCCTGACCTGCAGTCAGGTTTTTTCATCAGTCTCTTTACAATCCTATGGAGCTCTGTGGAAGTCAGTCTGCTTCCATACAGGTGCAGTGATCTGTTTGAATAAATCCAGCTGTAGGATATGTGTTCTAGCTCTTGATATATCCTGCTTCCCTTGTCTTTGTTTCCCCTTATTGCAGAAGGGTTGAATTAAAAAAAAAAATCCTGCAAAACAAAAATATTGATCCTGGACCATTAAGTCCCTGTATTAAAATATCTTGACTCTTCTATATTAATCTATAAAATAAGATATATAATACAATGTTGTAATAAAATATGTGTCTAAATAATATTAAAACAAACAACTTGTAACCATAACAATTACATCTTTTGTATATTTATGAAAATGAAACATTGATTTTCCCTCGCCTTCAAAAATACCACTGTAATTAACCCAAAGAACCTTGTAGGTCACTATAATTAATGCATCCATACACAATGTTTTGATTCCAGAGTAAGTAACTCTCTCTTTCAAAAGAAAATTATTCATCAAAAGTTTTTCAACCAGTTCTATTTGGAGTTACCAGTACAGGTTTGAGTTTGGCCCAGTGTAATGAGACATGTCTGATTAACCTACGAAAAAACAGAGAAGAATAAAAGGCTGCATATTCTGTTTATGTGGCTTTGTGTGGGGAACCCTTCCCCCTGCCTTCTTTTTAAAAATCTCTTTAGCATTGTTTCAAGGGGGATTTATTTGGCCTGAGATTGTCTCAGATGTCTGTAGCATCTGACAAAGTAGGCTGTTGCCTACAAAAGCTCATGCTTCTCTGGAGGTCTCTAAGGTGCCACCCTGTCCTACCTTCTCTCTGAGGTTTGGGTTTCAATAAACTCTGGCAAAGCCTGCCAGTGCAGCTGTTAAGTTTTACATGGTTTCAGTGAAAAGTAAGTGTTGCAGAGCACTACGGTATGCCTGCTCCATTAAGGGCAGAAACTGCCTAGAGAGAGGGCCATAGGAGCCAGGCAGAAACCCTACGGGTGCAGGTTGCCGTGGCAACGAGCTAATGAGGGAATTAGCCTGCACCTGCACTGGGTCAGCTGACCGGAAGGAGACAGGGCCCTGGGTACATATAAGCCAGAGGGCTGGGTCTAGAGGTGGTCAGTTCTCTGGTAGTAGCTGTGTGGTGGGGGGAAGGAGGAAGGAGTTCAGGCAGAAAAGCTCCATGGTGATGCTGGGCTGCCTGTCTGGCTGCTGGGGAGACTAACTGGCTCCAGGAGTTCCTAAAATACCTGGGGATAGGAGGCACACACTGCTGAGGGGGAAACTGGCCCCCTTAAAGGTGCAGAGTGTGGCCTCCAGGGTCATTGGTATTATTACTTGTAATATGTTATAGCCCAGGGGCTCATGCTCTTGTTGTTTAATCCGGTAGACTGGGTTGAGGCTCTTGGGGAGGAGGAGGCCTCATTGGGGCACACTACTGTGCAGAGCCCCAGCACCAGAGGGCACAGCAACAGGGGTGAGGAGACACCAGCACCAGAGGGCGCGGGTACAGAGGCTAAGGGTCTGGTGACAACAAGAAACCAAACTAAACTGAGGTTTCATCACTAGAGACAATGTCTAAATACCATCTGTGAGGCATGGAGCATGGTAAAGGGGTGATTTTGGAGCCACACATTTAGCTCATAAGGCTTGGGGTGTCTTGCGAGGCACCTGCTTAGAATGGGACCCAGCAAGGGGTCTAAAAACCCTAAGGGTTTAGTGGGGTTCATCAGGACTGTGACTGTGTAGCAACTTGAGGGCAACCTTTTACTATCTTAACCAACAAAGTGTGGCAGGTGAGACTAGAAGGTGCTTGCAGGGCAAAGCTGGCATGGTCACAGGGCCCTAGGGGCATCACTGCTGTCTCTAGGGACCCTACCCCATGACAGTAAGTGTAACAGGTGTGCGGGCCGGGAGCGACCCGAGCCCTTTTCGCGCTGCACGCGGGCTGTGGCCAGCAGCCCGGGCACGCCGGGGTGGAGAGGGAAGGCCTTCGAGCTGGAATTAGGCACGGACACCTAGCGGTAGTTTTAAAAGATTGTTTACTTACACCGAGATGGCAGTGGTGTAGGCTGGAAAGCTTGATTAAGTTGCAGTTACAGACAAACAACACAGACGGTCTCATGGAGGTTGCTAGGCTCCACGGTGCAGAGCTCAGGATGCTCTGGGTGAACGAGCCACCAAAATAGGAATCGTAAATACGTCTTATAAGAGTTGCATTCGAAGACGGGAAGAGGTGGGCGGTGGATCAGGCCGCCACGCTCCTCTGGATCTCACACAGGGTTTCAATTACCCTGCCGTGTACCCAGAGTCCCCACGAGATGGATGTGGAGTCCTCTGGAAACCGCTCAAGCCTCTTATACGGCTAGCAAGCCAATCGTTAGCCGCCATGTGTGAATAATTTAACATTAGCCAATCACGGGGAACGAATTTGCATACCGGTGGCGGGAACTCTTTTGCACCGTGCATTCCTCTTGCAACATGAGCAATGCACTCTGCAAAAGAAGCTGCAGAAAAGGCGGGAAACTCGTCCCTGCACCGGGGTTTCCTCTTGCTACAGGAAACACCCCCGTGCAATGCTCTGCAACTTGACGGGGATAATTCTGGTGCCGAAGCACACACACAATCATGCCTTTTGGGTCATGACAACAGGAAACTTAAAGACATTTAAATGTGCAAATATAAGCCTACTCAGAGACACTTGCAACTGGGCCTAGCTTCACTGCAATGGAATCTATGATGACTCGGACTTATCAAATCAACTGAATAATGAATCTGAGTTTGTGGTGGAAATGAACCATGGAAATAGTGTTGTTTTAGATTTTGTGATGAGTTTAACACAGCTCAAATAGTTTAATGAAAGTCCCCTATAAGCAGGCAAGCTAGGATTCAGCTTGTCCCACTAGTATGTGTTATAAGGGACTGTATGACAGGCAAGGATTTTTGTGGGTGACATCTTTTATTGGGCCAACTGCGTGGTAGGGAGAAATTTAGGGTAAAGGACACCCTTCCTCAGGTCTGAGATTGATTTGAATTAGTCCAATAAAAGATATCACCCACCCAAGAAATCCTTGCCTCTTGCTTATTTCCCAGACCATGAGAGTTACAACATCGCTCCAACACTACACAAGTTAAAAGGACTACTTATTCTGTCTACATGATACTGTACTTTTTAAATGCAATTGCTATTATCAGTTAAAAGTTCTAAATTTATCCTAGTCTAGACAGTCTCTTGGAATAGGCAAGACAACTCTAGCTGGGTGTTGTTCATTTGTGACTTACACAACACAAAAGCACCTAGTAACAGATGGTTCCACAGCAGGCCAAAAATAGAGGGCTCTACCTGCCTAACCCTAGTTCAGGCTTTGTTAAAGAACCCTTTTAATCTGAGACAGTCACAAGGAAATTCCTAACTGGAGTCTTTTTGCCTAATATATTAAACAGATTGAGTATCATGGCAGAGACTCAAGCACACATACTTCTCTTCTGTTCTCTGATGACTGAATGTTCCATGATCCATGGCAAACACCTACTAAGAACAGAACAGTTGGCACGCATTTTTTTTGTTTTGTTTTGTTTGGCCATCCATAGCTCCAAAACAGCCACCTTAGAATTAAGCACCAGTAAAGAATGAAGCACAGGGCAGATCAAATGCTACATAAGAAACAGATTTCCCTCTATTTTCTCAAGCACGTGCTACACATGTTGTATGTGGCAAGCTAATAAATATTAAATGGTTAATCAAAAGGCAGGTAAAATAAGATGAAAATTGTGGGAATGAAATATTAACAGGCTGCTTAAAAACTGTTGTTGTTGGGGTTTTTTTTTTTAAATAACCATGTTTAAAGGACTCTAAAAGAACTACTTTGTTTGCCTGGAAATATGAGAATAGGTTTATCCTCATTTAGTGGCTTTTCCTTCAAGAAAGATGAAGCTGGTAGTTGAACTAAAATATGCTCCAGTCGGCATCTCTCAGAAATGGGCATGGTGTTTTGCAACTTTGATTATTAATAAACTTGAAATACTGAAGTATATTTCCTGTGTTCCAGAGATGCCTGTCTTGTATCCTGTGAGCACAACAGCAGCATTTGTTCACTTCCAACAAACCTTATGTCATTTGGATCTAATTTCTCTCTAGGGTAATTCCATTGTTACTGGCAGTAGAATTAAACAGTGAAGCATGGGACTCTTCTATTTTACATTAGGCGCTCTATCCTAATAGTATATAGTTAAACATTCTTCCTACCTGCATCATGCTTCAGATCTTAGACTAGATTTTTAAAGTTCTTTCAGGTTTAGTCATTTACTTTTTCACTGTGTGTTGCTTTCTGTACTGTATTTAATTTAGTGATATTAGGCTGGCTAATATTACATTCTGGTTCTCATGGACTGTTTCTGGTTCTCTTGGACAAGGCTCTTGTGCTTGAATTAGTAACCCTTCAAGTGAAGGTTTTTTTAAAAGAAATCAAAAACCATTTCAGTGTTCTCTTGTTGT